TTTGTGTTTCTTTTTAAGTGATTTTTACTAGTTTCTCTCACCCCGGTCAAATGGTGGACAACGATACTCCGTGACTTAAGTTGGTTCTTTTAGTTTCCCATAATAACTAATATATGTGTATATATTTGTGCAATTCTATGAATCTCTCTTCCAATTCTTATTTAAAAATGGACAATAATCTTGAAAAATTGAAAAAGTATTTTTCTGCTCTGCCTCAGAATGTGATTACAAAAATTTACCGTGCTAGATGTGCAAGATTGAGGTTGTTAATGAATCATGGAATTCCTGAAGATATTCGCTAGTTGATTGAAGCAAATGTCTGATTATCAGATGAGTCCTCTAATTCCTTCATTTCACACATGCCTGGAATAGGTAAAAGCACTTTTGCAAAGAAACGTCGTGCAAAACAACTGAAACTCTATCATCGATGTGCTAGATGGACTTATAATGCACAATGTCGTTCTTTAGAAATGGTATCTATAAACCGTGAAGATAAAATACAATTCATTAAGGATGCCCTGAGTAAAGAGTCTTTAGATAATCTTCTATTAACTCTTGAGACGCATCCTAGTGGAGATGTGTATCGTGCAATTCATGATTTATGGCCACTATTTCATAAAGAACATGATCGACTTAGTCTTGGGAATCTTATTAAAAAAGACCCTGTTTGCCAGTTTTTAAGAAAACTGGATGAGAAGCCTATTCCCGACCCATAGAGGGCGTTTAAGCCGTTCTTGGACGTAAAACCAAGGGAAGATGTGAGCCACAATCACAATTACCTATACATACACATGCTTTTTCAATAAATAAATAAATAAATAAAGAGAGAGAGAGAGAGAGAGAGTAAGTGAGACTCCAACTGGCCTACATATAGGTGGTATGATTGCCTTTTCAATTTCTCATCTATAAAATCCTCTCTTCCTTCCTTTCATTTCTACTCAACCCATACATTCAACAAATATAGAAGTGTGTAACAATGGCAAGTTCCTTAACTCATCAAATAAAAAGTATTTGTGTTTTCGGTGGATCTAGTTTTGGGAAAGAAAAGGAGTTTTTAGAATCAGCAAATCATCTTGGTTAGGTGCTAGCTGAGAGAAAGATTCATTTAGTGTATAGGAGAGGTAGTCTGGGATTAATGGAAGATGTGTCAATAGCTGCATTTTTAGAAGGTAGTCAAGTTTTGGGGGTCGTCCCTGAAGCTTTAGCACAAGGGGACATCATTGGAAAAACAATTGGAGAGGAACTTCAGGTCTCCACAATGTCGACTCGAATGAATGCAATGTTTAACCATGATGATGCCTTCATTGCTTTACCAGGTGGTCTAAGCACATTGGAAGAGATCTTTCATATTTCCTCTAGGGCCCAACTGCACATTCATCATAAACCCATAGGTCTGTTAACTGTTAATGGTTATTATGATAAGTTATCTTTTCTTGATCATGCTGTTAACCGACACTTGAGCTATGAAAGAAACTTGATTTGTTGTTAACATAAGTTATAATCATGAATGCCTGACGAGATTTACAAGTATTAGAATTAATCGAATAAAATGACTAATGTAATCATGTTAACAATCTATAATCAGATTGGAACCTCTTTTGTCTGTGGTTTCCAATTGAGTAATAAGAGTTTATACTATACTTGTTTGACATACTATTAGTGGAATCTCTAACCTTGACATTTGTTATTATTATTGTTTAATCCCTACATTAATATTCTATCTCAAAGTTCTCATCATCATCTTCTTCTTCTCCTTTTTTTTCTTTATTATTATTATTATTACTACTACTACTACTACTAGTATTATTATTATTATTATTATTATCATCATCATCATCGTCATCATCATCATTATTATTATTGTTGTTGTTGTTGTTGTTGTTGTTGTTATTGTTATTATTGTTGTTTATAGTTTGTACAATTAACCTCCCTATGGTTCGACCCTGGTTTTACCGGGTTATTTATTACTTTGACACTCCTGCACTTAGGAAAAGACATTAATCTTTTCGTCGTGTCATTAAACATTGCATTCATTCGAGCAGACATTGTGGAGACCTGTAGTTCCTCTCTAATTATTTTTCCAATGATGTCCCCTTGTGCTAAAACTTCGAGGACGACCCCCAAAACTTGATTACCTCCTAAAAATACAGTTATTGACACACCTCCCATTAACCCAAGATTGCTGCCCCCATACACTAAATGAATATTTCTTTCAGCTATCACCTGACCAAGATGATTTGCTGATTTTAAAAACTCCTTTTTTTTCCCAGTACTAAATCCACCGAAAACACAAATATTTCTTATCTGATGACCTAAGGAACTTGCCATTTCTACACACTTCTATTTTTGTTGAATGTATGGGTTGAGTAGAAATGAAAGGAAGGAAGAAAGGATTTTATAGATGAGAAATTGAAAAGGCAATCATACCACCTATTTTTGTTGTGGTTGAGATGAAAACTTACCTTTCTCTTGAAAACTACGAGCAGATGTGAATTTTACAAGAGTATCCTTAAAATCTGTTATGTTTTGAGCAAGTTGAGTATTGATTGTCTCTTGCTTTTCAATAAATGCATACAAAGTTTCCTCAAAATTTCTTATAGGTGGTGGAGCATAAGGAGATGCATATCTATGAAAATTTTGAAAATTATGGTGTGCTTGAAATGGTGGTTGTGAAGTTTGTACATTGTTATTATCACTCTTCCAATTGAAATTTGGGTGATTTCTCCAACCAGGATTGTATGTTTGCGAGTATGGGTTATGGTTGGTCCTTTAGAAACTATTTAAAGCATGAACTTGTTCATTGAGACATTCCTTAAAAGAAGGCAAGGTTGAACAATTATTGGTTGAGTGTTCATTTGTTTCAGATATTTGACACACAATGTTTTCAACAGATTTTAATTGACCACTCTTTTTCAATTCTAGTGCCTCGACTTTTCTAGCTAAAGATGCAAACTTGGCTTGAAAGTCATGATCTTCCCTAAGGTTGTACATACCTCCACTAGATGTATGAGGTTAAATTTTACTCGGTACCTCATAAGTACCCGCAGTGTCCTAATTTTGAGTATTTTCAGCTAAGAAGTCTAGGTACTCCATTGCTTCATTAGGGTCTTTATCTTCAAAAGTTCCATTGCACATCAATTCAACCATCTACCTATCTCTAGGTGTTAACCCTTCATAAAAATATGAAACCAATCTCCATGTTTCAAAACCATAATGAGGGTAGACAAGAGAAGATAATGATTGTCACCAAGTTAAGAGTTGGCCACCCACTCATCAATTAGTAATCAAATCAATAGTTTTCAATTTTGGCCTATAAAAGGAGGCCTTTGCCATGCATTTAGGCATCTTGGTTTCCAAATCAAGTTCATGCTCTTGCTTTCTCTCTTTGTATTGCTTAAGTTTTGCTTTCATTAATATCAAGTTTATGCCTTTCATTTTCTTTCCTTCATTTAGTTAACTTTAATCTTATTTATGTTCTTATTTTGTTTATTTATGTTTTTTTTTTAATTATGTTCAGCTAAGTTTATTAAGTTAAGGTAAAAAGGTTACATTAATGGTGTAAGAATAAGCACAATATAAACTCAACATAGACCTTAATGTATGATACTAACATGTTTTGTGTTTGTTATCTTCTTCACTCTTTAATATTTTGCTTGTTAAATGACTAATCTAGATTTATATTGTATAACACTTGGTACAATAAATATATAGCATTTTCATAGCTCAACCGTATGGTATAACTTACACATGTGCTATGAAAGGAACTTGATATGTTGTTAACATAAGTTGTAATCATGAATGCCTGACAAGATTTACAAGTATTACTATTAATCGAATAAGATAACTAATATAATCATGTTAACAATTTATAATCTGATTGGAACCTTTTTTGTATGTAGTTTCCAATTGAATAATAAGAGTTTATACTATACTTGTTTGACATACCATTAGTGGATCCTCTAACATTGACATTTGTTATTATCATTGTTTAATCCTTAAATTAATCTTCCTTCTCAAAGTTCTCATCAACTTCTTCTTCTTCTTCTTTACTACTACTACTACTATTATTATTATTAGTATTATTACTATTGTTATAGTTATTGTTATATTATTGTTTTTTATAATTTATATAATTAACCACCTTGTGGTTTGACCTCGGTCTTGTCAAGTTATTTATTACTTCGACACTCTTGCACTTGGAAGAAGACATCAATCTTTTGGTCTTTAATCTCGAATTTCTTCGATTGAGCCATTAATTGACTATTAAACTTTTAATTTCTTCAATTTTACTTCTAGTTTCACTCAAATTAAGTCCCTATAGTTTGACACCTTTTTCAAATTGGTTATTGACTGTGAATTTCTTCAATTTGACCCTTAATTTGTCTAAAAACTTTTATTTTCTTTTGATTTTACCCCTGAGTTCAATCAATTAACTTGATAAAACATAAATTTAGTCTTTTAAAATTCTAATATTCTCAATTAAGTCCAAATTAAGCTCTCAAAGTTAAGTTTTCATCAATGAAACCTCTAATAAAATTAATTTGACCTATTTAAAGCATAAGTAAGTTCTTACATTTAATTAAATTCTTAAATTGGATCCAAATTAATTCTTAAATATAATTAAAATTTAATTTGATCATGATGAAATCAAATTGGCATATTAAAAATTTAATTATTTCCCTAGACTTAATTTTTATGCAAATTCATCCAATAATCATTTAATTTGATCTTGTATTTGTATTTTTTTCTTTATTTTTTTGGCATAATAGGGTACAATTAGACCTTGAATTTTTTTTAAAATTACAAGTTGATTTATATTTATTTTTTTAAAAATCTTCCCCTATTTATTTGCTTTCTTCGTATTGCTAATCTTTACTTTATTTTTTGAATTTTTTTAATAAATTCTAGAAAATACCCCGAATTGGTTTATTACGGTCATTCTTTTATACATAGACGATATGATTTAAATAATATGATTATCAATCTTATTTATTGGTTTGGTTAAAGAGATATGTTTTATTATGTGAACGCACAAAATGAATAATAGATGTGTAAACTAACAATAATGCTCCAGAAAGCATGAGAAATCTTAATCTTTTCCATAGAAATAACTCTACAGAAGTTTTATGGATGCTTCTCCACCTCTACTACCACCTCCAGCACAACCACCTTCTTCACCACCTCCTCCGTCTCCACCACCAACTTATCCATCTCCACCATGGCAATCACCTCCACTAAAACAATCACCTACATCATTATCATTGCAGCGACGGTGATGACCTTGACCTAAATTACTATCACCACAAGTGAATATGACCATGAAAATAATTGACAAGGAAACAACAATCATGCATAACAACACTCACGAAGTAACATGAGAAATCTTAATCTTTTCCATAGAAAATAACTCCATGAAAGTTATTAGGATGCTCCTCCACCTCAACCACCACCACCACCTCCTCCTCCATCTCCACCTCCTCCACCCCCTCCGTCTCCACCTCCTCCATCTCCACCCCCTCCATCTCCTCCACAACAATCACCCCCTCCAAAACAATCACATCCACCACTATCATTCTGGCGGCGGCGGCGGCGGCGACCTTTCCCTGAATTACTATCACCACAAGCGAATATGACCATGGAAATAATTGACAAGGAAACAACAATCATGCATAACAACAGAAAAGCCTCGGAGGAATCAAGAAGGAGGCCTGCTTCTGAATGGACACTGCCTTCATGAACTATGAACTCTCTCGCCATCTTAATTTCCTAAGATATATGATCCTAATACAAGGCTTGCTATAGCTCTAATATGTTGTTACTAAAACCATTTTATATACAAACTTGCGGGAATATTCAATTGCCGTTGCTTAAGGAAGAGGATAACTTGGTGGACTTTGTCAAACGTTTTAATATTACTAAAAGCAAATTTACTTAGTTTTCGAATGAGTTTTGAGACATTGAAGGGGCTTCCCTTGAAACGTTTATACAATCTTAATAAGAAAACAACGTGCCTCGCGATAGTCAATCTTAATAAGGGGCTCCCCACGGGATAATGGCCAACAATTTCAGTTCGCAGCTTTTTAACATATTATTTAATTTACTAATCATATTCTTTTTTTAGATTAACGTGAGTGTCCGGGCCAGCTTGCGCGCACCACGACTAATCCCACGGGTCTTGAAGTTAACAACCATGTAAGCCTCCAGTAGCCATCATATGAACAACTAAGGACTCGAACCTGAGACCA